CCTTCCTTCCTTCCTTCCTTCCTTCCTTCCTTCCTTCCTTCCTTCCTTCCTTCCTTCCTATCTTATCTCCATTCCTTCCTTCTCTCATTCTTACCTTCCTTCCCTCTCCCTCCTTTCGTTCCCTCGGCTGATTCATTCTTCCTCTTCCTCTGCGCTCTGCAGATCCGCTTGATCCCAGCACGGCTGAAAGTTGGGCAGCCGGAGGTGGGCTTGCGCTGCTCCCAGGGAGACCCCCCACCCCTTCCCCATAGCAGCGACCACTGGAAAAGTTAGCCACGAACTGTGGCCGTTGGGCTCCTGCGTGAGTGAGGTCCCAGAGGCTGGGAATTTTCCTATTTTGGGCGAAATCACTTCTGGACACAACGTCCCCTGGCTGATGTTTATCCACTTAACTGGATGGAAAGTTTTATCTGTGTGTGCGTGTGCGTGTGTGTGTGTTTTAAATCCTGGCACCGGCTCCTCCTTTTGCAGCTGAGAAAACCTGTTCGTTGCCCATATTAAGACCTCTCCCTGCAAAATTTACAGCAGGCTAAAATCTGGGGTTTTCACAAAAGGCTGTGGATGATGGTGCCTCCCTCCCCGTACGGACGCCGAGACATGCGTCTTCCTCGTTGCGTTGCGTTGAGTTGCGCAGCTGTCTTGCATGTTCCACAACTTACCCCTTCCGTTCATATCGAACCCGTTTGTGATCGCTTTGGGAGAGCGGTTTTGTCGGTGGTAGCGTTGCGCTTCGCGTCATCTGCCGACCCCGTTCCTTCAGGCCCTGAACTACAACCCCCATCATTCCCAGCCGAGCCTTGCCGCTCGGGAGGCCTGAAGGACGTTGGCGCCGGCTTCAAAACACAGGATTCCGCTTGGAGGAAAAGGGGTTTTGAGAGGTCCAAATCAGTTTAACGAAGCATTTCGGCCTCAACAGTGGCGTTAAACCGTGATACGTAGCTCGTCCTTCGACTTACGACTGTGATTAAGCCCGAAATCAGTCGTTAAGCAAAACAGTTGTTTTCAACGAGTTTTACACAGAGACACACTGTTTTTACAACCTGTCTCGCTTGACTTACGACTCCGATTAAGCCCGAAATCAGTCGTTAAGCAAGACAGTTGTGTTCAACGAGTTTTACACAGACACACTGTTTTTACAACCTGTCTCGCTTGACTTACAACTGCGATTAAGCCCGAAATCAGTCGTTAAGCAAGACAGTTGTGTTCAACGAGTTTTACACAGACACACTGTTTTTACAACCTGTCTCGCTTGACTTACAACTGCGATTAAGCCCGAAATCAGTCGTTAAGCAAGACAGTTGTGTTCAACGAGTTTTACACACAGACACATCATTTTTACAACCTGTCTCGCTTGACTTACGACTGCGATTAAGCCTGAAATCAGTCGTTAAGCAAGACAGTTGTGTTCAACGAGTTTTACACACAGACACATCGTTTTTACAACCTGTCTCGCTTGACTTACGACTGTGATTAAGCCCGAAATCAGTCGATAAGCAAGACAGTTGTGTTCAATGAGTTTTACACACAGACACACCATTTTTACAACCTGTCTCGCCCCTAATTGTGAATTCCCCGCGGTCGTTGAATTAGTACCACTGCGGTGAAGTGAATTGAATGCCTTGTCAGAAGGTCCCCAAAAGTGAACGGACGACCCCGGAGAAATTTGCAACCGTCCTAAGTAAGGTGACAACTTGCCAAGCGTCCAAATTTGGGGTACGGGGCAGAAATACTTCCTATTAAGGGAGACCCTTTTCCCTTTTCCGATCTGGTGTACAGCCCGCTCGATCGGGAAGGCTCGGGAAGAGATTAACCCTGTTCCTTGGCGTCCCGGGAATCCCCTTTGATCCTTCTTACAAGGTTAGGATAAGCCGGAGGAAACATTTGGGAACTTTTTAGCTCCACGACCCTCATAAATGCGCGCCGTATTTTGCGGATCTGCGAGCGCACACGAAGCCAACGGCTCCATCCAAATCCTGCTTAATCTTTTCTCTGCAGGCCTGTCCTTTTGCAATAACCCTTTTGGTGGGGGGCATCCCTAACCCCCTTTTTTTCCCTTACCCGTAGAGCTCACCTTGGGTCTGAGGAACTCCCCGCTGCGAATCACCACCTCCAGCCATGGCGGCTCCAGCAGCAGCTTTGAGAAGGTGAGTCCGTCGCCGTTTGTCGGGCCTCCGATTCTGACGGCAGGAAGAGGCTGCCTTGGCTCGGCGGGGCTGTGTGTGTATATGCACACAGGCTCTGTGTGTGCGTGTGTAAAACCCTGTTCTGACCGAGGCTTCCTGAGAGCATGAAGTGAACTCCTTGTCCCGACAAAAACCCCTTTTATTAATTGACTGTGAATTCTGCTCGTTCACATCCAGCTAAGTCTTTCAAGGGAGGATTTACGGTCACAGACCTTATCTCGCTTGGACAGCTGCCAGGCCGATATCTGCAGAATTTGGCAATGAGCCTCGGAGACTCATGAACCAATGAAGCGAACTGATTGTCTCCTGTAAACTCCAGTCCCCTGTCGCTCCTCTTTTATTCCCTCTGGGAGGGGCCATTCACCGTCCCCCCTGTGGCCTTACTCCCAAGTCGGCCCCTGTTCTTTAGCTGTTCCCTTCGTCTGGCCACTCTGCGCATGCACCCACTGGGAACAGGCTCCAGCTGTTCCTCTGCCTCACTGATGTCTGACTCCGAAGGCAGCTGATAACTGTCAGATGGCTCTGTCCTCCTCTCTGTCTCCGACGCAGAGCCCTCGTCTGAGTCTTCCCCAGACTCCAGGACTGGCCCAGGATCCTCCCCAACCCTCCTCACTGCCCGAATCTGCTGCCAGTTACGCTGTCTGCTGGCGGGCCACAACAGGGGGGAGCAGCCGGATGGCGGGGGAGGAAAACTTCGGTTCTGGATGGGGATATTTGCCCTGGGGTCCAAATTCTGCAGCACCGTAAAAATCTGACCGGCTGGTTTACCGGGGCTGTTTGTCCTTTTGGAAGCGACATGGGGAAGAATGGAGGGAGATGGGACTCCCCTTTAAAGTAGCTGTGTCTTTTTTTCAGGCTTTCGATAGTTAGAGTTAAGTGGTGGCCTAGAGGTGGCGCCCTCCCCTCACAGTCAGGAGGCTGTGAGTTCGATCCTAGGTGACTTTGATTGGTGACTTAGTGACTTTGAATGCTCACTAAGAGCCATGGTGGCGCAGTGGTTAGAGTGCAGTACTGCAGACTATTTCTGCTGACTGCCGGCTGCCTGCAATTTGGACAGTTCAAATCCCTCCCGTCCTTCCGAGGTGGGTCAAATGAGGACCCAGATTGTTGGGGGCAAAAGGCTGACTCTGTCAACCGCTTAGAGAGGGCTGTGAAGCTCTGTGAAGTGGTATATAAGTCTAAGTGCTATTGCTATTCCTTTTTTCCTTCTTTCCTTCCTTCCTTCCTTCCTTCCTTCCNAGGGCTCCCAGCTGCTTGAGATAAACCACGCTCTGCTCCCAGGCTGGTCCTCCCCCTCCCTCCACTGACATCTCCCTCCCCTTTCCCTCCCTCTCTGCAGAGCCGTGCCGAGAGCAGCCCTTCCAAAGAGCCGGCTCCATCCGCGAGCGCGCTCGCCAGTTCAGCTCGGACCCCACAAACCGTCCTCCGGCTGCGCCCCAGAAGGCCTCCGGAGGGCCGCCCGTCCCGTCACAGCAACAGCACCGTCTTCTGCCCTCCCGCCACACGGCCAACTCACCCTTGAGGGATCGCGGCACCACCACCGCCGTCCGGACGCTGCAGGCCAGCAGCAAGGCGCAGGAGGCATCCCGGGCGGTCCCTACAGACGCCAAGGCTGGGGTGGGCAGGCTCCCTTCGCAGGCTCCATCCGTCCCTCAAGAGGTGGCCGGCCCCCAAGGGCGGATCCAGGCTGGCCAATGGCAGGAGAGGAAGCTGCCCCCCGCCCGGTCCGGGGTTGAAAACGCCAAGGGGGTCTCCCCGGACTCAGAGGTGCTCCGCAGCCAGCCAAGCGGCACTGCCCACAACCCGGCAGGCTCCCTGGTCCGCCGCCCAGCTGCCCACCCTGACGACGAGATGAAAACCCTCCTGACCATCGAGATCAAGGACAGCCGGAATCAGCCTCTACGGGGCCACCTCGTGGGGGGCCCCGGGAACCAGCAAGCAGGTGAGGGGCCTGGGAGGGTTGGAGGGTGAGGGCACCTCAGATTCCCCACTTTGTCCATCTTTTGGGGGCGAGGAAGAAGGGGGCTCTCATTCCTCTTGGGGGTCCCTTGCAAAGCAGGGGGGTTGGTGGGAGGCGGGCAGCTGTGGGAGGCAGGCAGCTGTGACCTTTTCCAGGCAGGAGAGCAAAGGGGAGATAGGCAGGGGGAAAGGGGGGAATGAAAAAGAAAAGAAAAGAGAGGAAAATAGGGTTTTGCAAAGGAGGGAATCTCTGCGGGGCTCATCCTGACACACCGCAAAACAAGTCTATGGAGACAATTCTGCGTTGCAACCTGGAGCTTCTCCGAGAGCCAGAGCGAGAGACCTTCTGCTCAGGATATGGGGGCTGCCTTTTCAGGTGGGCCCCCCACCCCCAAAAATAGCATTTCGGTTCACTTAAATAATTGCTGGGCGTTTTGGGGGATCCAGGAGGCTTTGGGTAAAGTCACGAGTGGGTCAATGACTCCGGTGGAAGGTTCAGGACCATGTTAATTGTCAAGAAGGGCTTCCTTCCTTCCTTCCTTCCTTCCTTCCTTCCTTCC